TTGTAAATCTATATCTCTTTATATATAATTTTATTGCTTTATTCATTCAATATTTTTCAGTGCCTACCTTGTATCAGGCTCTGTGCTGGGAGGTGATAATAAGATAGGGCGGAGGGCCTGAGCACGGATAGAATGGGTTTCTGCCCTTTAAGTGAGTGGAGATATGCCCACTGCTGCCTTGCAAGTTGGCCTGCCCAAAGCAAAACTGTGATATTTGACTGATAATCATATCATTTGAGTCATAACTTTGGAAAAGAAAAGATAGGCAAATAAGTTCATTGTCATCTATTAATACTTAAACATCTTAAGATTATGGAATATTTTCTTTATATTTCCATGTTAAGATTATTAAATATTTATATATAAATACTATTCAAACTCCCATTTATCTACTCATTACCTGATTATAAATATAAGTTGACATCTTTACAAAATTTGCTTTGTATTTTTTAGGGAAATAATTTATAATGACTTACATAGCCATCAATATATTCACTCTATTGTTGGACATTACCTTCCAGATTTTCACCATTACACATGAGGTTGCATTGACTATCCTTATACATGTCTCCTCGAGTATATATGCAAGGATTTCTTTATACTCAGAAACAGAATTTCTGGGTATTAAGATATATGCACCTTCAATTTAGCAAGGCACTGCCACCAGTAGTGTATAAATATACACATTCTTTCATATCCTTAACAATATTTTTAATTTTTACCAATCTTATGGGTATGAAATGGTACCTCATTGTTGTTTTACTTTGCATTTCACTAATCACTGAATTTATCTTAAAATATTTACTAGCCTTCTGGTTTCTTTTACTGTGAATTGACTGTTTATAGGCTTTGTCCATTTTTCTATGGGATTCTGTCTTTCATTGATGTGTAAGAATGTTTATTCTGGGTATTAATCTTGTTTTGGTTAATTTTATGATTTTTCTTCTCTATGGCTTCTCTTCTAACTGTTCAAGCTGTCTTTTGATCAATAGAAGTTTTAAATTATAATTTAATCAAAACATATATAATGTCAGACTGTAAACATTTTAGAAATTACATATATGTGTATATATACATATATAAACACATATGTAACATACTAGAGGCCCAGTGCATGAAATTTGTGCATGGGGGGTGGGGGGTCCCTCAGCCCGGGCTGCACCCTCTCTAATCTGGGACCCCTCAGGGGATGTCTGACTGCAATCCGGGACCATTGACTCTTAACCACTCGCCTGCCTGCCTGCCTGATCACCCCTAACCACCTCTGCCTGCCGGCCTGATCACCCCCTAACTGCTTCCCTGCCAGCCTGGTCGCTCCCTAACTGCCCCCCTGCCGGCCTGGTTGCCCCTAACCGCCTCTGCCTTGACTCCCGCTACCATGGCTTTGTCTGGAAGGATGTCTGGAAGATGTCCGGACTAATTAGCATATTACCCTTTTATTAATATAGATATTGATTGAGTCATAAACAAGGGAGTTATTTCATGTCCTTCAATAAATTTTGAATTTTTTCATAAATATCTTATAAATCTTGTTACATATATTGCTATAGGAATTTTAGAAATTTTATTGCAATTATAAATGGGATTTTTCCACTTAGTCATGCTTTCTAATTTCTTATTGCTGATATATGAGTATACTATTTTTGTGTATTGATCTTATATCCAACAACCGTCCTGAAACTTGCCTGATGTTATGATTCAAAGATTCTCTTAGATTTTTAGATGTAGACAGTTTTATTATCTGTGGACAATGAAAATTTTGTTCCATTCCAATTATTATACTAATGATTCTTTTTCTTGTTTTACTGCCTTTGCTAGAATGTCTAGTGCATCGCTGAATAGAAAAGCTGATAGAGGACTTCTCTGACCAGGAATGTTTCTGGGGAGGAGTTTCATCAGCTTAGTTTTTATTCTTATTTACTGTTTTCTTCTCATAGTGATGTTGCCTTTTTTTTCTCACATTTTAAGTATGTTTAATTTTCCTGGCCTAGCAGCAATCAGGTAAATTCTGTGGAGGGGGGGTGGGGGGGTGGGGATAAGAAGTTTGGACCATTTCCTCAATATTTTAGTTCAAGAGTGCCCTCTTCTGTTAGAACAGTGAAGTGAACTTTATTTCATTAATGACTTCTATTATTATTATTCTTTTTTTTTGGAGGAGCGGTGGTTTTAGGACCCTTAATTTCTGGGCTTGATTTCTTATTTTTCTTTATTTTGCCAGTTGTCCCCACCCTCGCTTCCTTGGAATCATTGCACACCAAGGCTGACGTTGTGGTCTTGCATACTTTCCAAGCCTCTTTCTTAAAAGCCAATGTTCAGATCCTCTAGTCTCAGACTTGGTCTCAGTTTTTCCCCATCAGAGAAGAATGCTCTATTTCTGGGTCCATGTTCTCTGTATTCCATCCCCACTGGGGAGTTGCCACTCTTTCCTCTCTTCCATGTAATCCCTGCCCAATTTTGCTCCAGCTTGGGCTCGGATCTAACTCTACCAATTCTGGATTGTTTTCCTCACTACATTAAACTGAAGTTTGTAGACTTTTCTGGCCTCTGTTTTGCTGCATGCATGGGAAATTGTGTGATTTTATTTGCGTTGCTGTTGATATGTATAGTTTTGGAGGATATATGTAGAAATTTGGATTTAAGGAACTGAAGGATCTAGGAATGTTTTATAGTCCTCCTCTATGCCTGTGGAATTATCATTTTATCTTTGTGATTCTGTCATTTTTTGCTTTACATATATTATGTGTTGTTGAGTATGTCATATATTCTTGGTGACTTATTCCTTTAATCAATAGGTAATGATTAGCAAATCTTTATAATTAATAGTTTTTGGTTAATATTTGTATGATGTATCTTTTATATTCTTTTGCTTTCAAACTTTATTTGAAAATAATTCTAGGTATAAAAGCATAGAATCGGACTGCATAAACAATTTGTAGTTCAATTTAAGTCTGAGAAAATACTTTCCTTGATGGGCTTTACCCCTTTACTTTCACTGTGATTGCAAATATATTTAATTTTATGATTTTAATTTGTCTGGCGAGCAGAAATTGATTTTCTTTTCTGGTATTCACAGTTCCTGCTTTGTATTAGGTTGGCCTCTTTTGGGGGGAAAAAAGTCCTATTTGCTGGTTTGAAAGTTACACTTCTAATTTTTGTTCTTTTAGTTTCCAGTACTCAAACTTTAGTGTGCATCAAAATCACCTAGAGGGCTTGTGAAAACACAGATTGCTGGGCCCACCCTCAGAATTTCTAATTCAGTAGATCTTGAGTGGGACTGAAGTACAGTCACACACTGCTTAACAACAAAGACACACTCTGAGAAATGCATCATTAGGTGATTTCATTGTTGTGCAAAGATGGTGGAGTGTATTTACTTAAACCTAGATGGTGTAGCCCACTGCACACCTAGGCTGTACAAGATAGCCCATTGCTCCTAAGCTACAAACAGAATGCAGGCCTGTTCCTGTACAAAATAACATGAGATTAAATCAAGCACAAAAGAAAATGATGCAGTCATGAGGTGTATGAGTCTGCTGACCGAGTTAACACGGCATATTGCTTTACAGAAAACTTTTTATTCTAGCAGAAAGAATATACTTTAAAATAGCGATAAAAAATATAGGATATAAATACACAAACCAGTAACATGGTCATTTATTATCATTCTCAAATATTATGTGCTCTACATAATTGTATGTGTTATGCTCCTATACACCAGCAGTTCAGTGGGTTTGTTCACACCAGCATCACTACACACACGTGAGTAATGTGTTGCACTACAATGTTATGATGACTACAACACCACAAGGCAATAGGAGTTTTTTAGCTCCATTTCAATCTTATGAAACCCCTATCGTATATTTGGTCCATCATTGACTGAAACACCATTATGCGGCACATGACAGTATTTGCATTTCTTTAACAAGCTACTACTCTGGAAACCACTTCTTGTCAGGAATTGGTGATTATCACCAGGTAGAACCTGGGACACTTCAGTTTGCGGGCTGATGCTCTATCCACTGAGCCAACCCGGCTAAGGCTGGAATTCTTTATTTGTTGGATTATGTTACTTTCCCACCAGCTCGGCCATGCATTGAAATGTTTCAGTTTCCCTGTACCCAATATTTTTAGATGTGCAATTACCAGTGGAGTTTCTTTGACCATCTCATTTCATAATATTATCAGAACAGAGAATTAGGACTTTAATTTCTCATTGGAAAATAATTTCCTCCCAAACCCCACCCTCAGTTTCAAACAGAAAGAAACTTTCTGGCAAGTTTCCCTGGACTGGTTACTCTAGTTTTTTGGTCTGTATTATATGGAGACTCCTGGCTGCAAGAGTTTAGCACTTGCCTTCTGTGAAATCCCCAAGACCACGTCTTCTGCTCTTTGACATGCAGTTCAAACTGCAGTCCTATCCTGGGACATCAGCTTATGGCTTCCCATTCTAATGAGTATGTCCTTCATTTCCAACATTTCAGGTTTTTCCTTTTGAGCCTGGCTGTGCTTCTACACTTTGGGGAGGGAGGGCGTATTTCATCTGCATTACTGCGTGTTTAATGGGGGGAGGTTGGAGAAGCTATGATATCTCAGTCCTCGTGGTTGTCCGCTATTATCTTTTCAGTTGTCATCCAGCAGAGAGCATGGGGCATAGGATCAAAAAGAGTTGAGGGGCAGAAAATGGGTGGTAAAGTGAGTCCCAAAAGTCCAGAATGCACCCAAGCTCAGGTAATAATTTAAAATCCTTGGGATTGGTAGCATATCATTAGCACAGGAGAGTAGTGGATGGTGCTGAGTTGGAAGTAATGGAGGAAGGGCCCCCTGCTGGTGATAGGTAACACTGAAAACAAGGCTGAGACAATTGTAGGTTTTAAAATTTTTATTGGGGCCAATCCTCCTTGAAATGGTTTTATTTTATGTAAAGTATACACCACTAAAACATTTAAATATGTTTGTTTTTTAAGTCATTCTTTTCTCAGATACTGACTTATTCCTCTTAGGTGTGCATTGACAACATATGCTGAAAACTACACTCCACCATATAATTATCAGCTACTTGTGAGTATAAGAGGGCTGTGAAGCCACATTCTAATACTTGTTTATGTACATAAAATGGTTCTGTACGTCTAGTGTAAATAGTCAAGCTTAGGAAGAGAGGACAATTGCTGAGATTTATGATGTTTTATATTTATTTAGAGATATTTTCTATTGGAGGGAGTCCATAGAATATTTTATTGTTATGATTTATTTTTAGATGTTTATAGATTTCAGGGAGAAAATATTGTAGTGTCCAAAACATATTAGTTGCTTTCTTCTTCATCTTGTTTTATTATCTCTGTCCCTGAATTTAATTTATCTGGAATAAGAACCTGCCTTTCTATTCATTTGTATTGCATTGACACATAAAAGTAATTGGCTTAATTTAGCTTTGGGAAATGTGTATGTTGATATTATATGTCCAGTTTATTACTTTAATATATTTGTACTTAAAAAATTATACAACAGAAACAGAACAAGGCTGCATCTTATTAGGCTTGTCGATTAACCAGTGTAATAGATAAGGTATTTGATTATTGAAAAGGAGAAGAAAATTTTTATCTTTATTTTAAGATAGTATGATTACCTTCTTAGGAAAACCAAGATATTAAACTGAGAATTAAATAAGACCATTTAGTAGGTGAGTAAATACAAATTAAGCATATGAAAAACAGTATCTTTCCTTCACATCAGCACTAACTGGTTAGTAAACTATAAAAGAAAAAGCATACAAATTACTATAGCAACACAAATTTAAAATACTTTCATCAGGAAAAGCTTAGATTAGTAAAGATCAATAAAGATGTGGTAGATTGTCTCTGAAGATGGCTGGCCTTCTGTTTGTGCTGGCCACTTTCCCAGCAAGATGTGAATATCTCTTTGCCTTTTGAATCTGGACTATCAGGCTTTTGATTTGATCAATAGAACATGACAAAAGTGACCTTGTGCCAGATGTAGGCCTAGCTTATAAAAAGACTGCTTCCAAGTCTCTTGGAGCCCTGAGCTACCTCATGAGAAATCCAGGCTCCTGGGCTAGAGCGCGAGGCCATGAGGAGAAACACTACTGAGCTTGGCTTAGGAATGAAGAAGCCATCTCGGACATTCAGCCGACCTGAGCCTGGACTCCCACTCCAGCTGCCATCCGACTGCAACCCATGAAAGATTCCAGCCATTAATTTTTAAAAATATTCACTCAGAGGTAAACAGAACCCTCAAATAAAAGGGAATAACTACCATTTTAGAGGACTGGAAAACTAAATTAATTAAAAATTAAATTTATACATTTAATACGCAGTGGGGTGAGGATGGGGTGAGATTTTTTTAAATATATTTTAGAGAGAGAGGGAGGAGGAGGAACTGATCAACTGCCTCGAGTATGCACCCCAACCAGGGATCAGACCCCCAACCTAGATATGTGCCCTGACTGGGAATCGAACCCACTACCTTTTTGGTATACGAATGATGCTCTGACCAACTGAGCCACCCTGCCAGGACAAGATGGGTTATTTTATCTGTTGCCAGACAAATTGTAAATTATTTTAATCTTTCTGGAAAGGAATTTGGCAGTATGTATCAAGATACTATTTGATCTAATAATTTTCCTTTTAAGAAATTTCCCCAAAGGAAAATAATTTAAAATGCAGAGATACTAGTCACTGGATTATTTATAATGGCTAAACTTGGAAAATGCTTAATGTTTTAGTATTAGAAATAGTACTAATTGAATATGCTATAATCATATGATGAGGTTATTGTATCCTTTATAACATGAAAGATAGCTCTTAGTGTCTTGATAAATCTTCATTTAAGGCAGTGGTTCTCAACCTTCCTAATGCCGCTACCCTTTAATACAGTTCCTCATGTTGTGGTGACCCCCAACCATAAAATTATTTTCGTTGCTACTTCATAACTGTAATGTTGCTACTGTTATGAATCGTAATGTAAATATCTGATATGCAGGATGTATTTTCATTGTTACCAATTAAACATAATTAAAGCATAGTGATTAATCACAAAACAATATGTAACTATATATGTGTTTTCCGATGGTCTTAGGTGACCCCTGTGAAAGGGTCGTTCGACCCCCAAAGGGGTCGCGACCCACAGGTTGAGAACCGCTGATTTAAGGTTAAGAAAAACATTAGTATGCAAAATTGAACATATATTTTATCTAAACTATGTAAAACATAGGAGAAAAAATGAAAAAACTGTCAAAATGCTACTAAAGTTGGTCATTTTCTTCATCTCTACATTTTTTATCCTGATTTTTATAATCAAAAAACACACAAGGAAACAAATATGTTATTTAAAAATGCAATTCAGGCTTCTTTCCTTATATACATGGAATTTGGTTCCATCTCTAAACAAAATGAAGTTGAAGACATAATTACAAACTCACAAAGCCTGAAGGATGAATTTTCCATAGGCAGAAATTTAAGGGTGTATCTCTGAGTGCATAAGTCTTTAGCCATTGTGTTACATACTTATGGTTTTAATTTTTTCAGCGTTATTTCTAATATTTCCCCATTGCTTATTTCCACATTAATAGCACACATGCCATGGCAGTTGTTTGGCTTTAGTTAGAGTTTCGTTCATTCACTTCCAAGCCAAAGTAATTGATTTTGAGACATGTTTTTAGCACTGCTTTTTAGCACCCCTATTTAATGAATGGTTGTATTACATTCTTATAGAATATAAAAATATTTAAAATTATAAGTGGGTGGCTAAATAACAGCAGAATAGTAACTGAGGTTATCTTGCATATAAACAAGTATCTATATATATAAAAGCCTAAGTGACTGGCCTACCGACCGGCCGGTACGTATGACACGCACTGACTACCAGGAGTCAGATGCTTAACACGGGAGCGGAAACCACAGGCATGGAAACATGGTACAGACTGATGAATCTCAGAGGGAAGAGGGGAGGGGGAGGGTGCGAAGAGATTAAGCAAAGATCTTATATGCATACTAGAGGCCCGGTGCATGGATTCATGCACTGGGGGGGTCCCTCGACCTAGCCTCTCCAACATCCTCTGAGGAGTCCCGGATTGTGAGAGGGCACAGGCCAAGCTGAGGGACCCCACCAGTGCATGAATCCGTGCACCAGGCCTCTAGTATACTTCATAAAATACTACTATTTTTTTTCATGCTAGGCATTTTACCATATGGCCTTAGCATAAATAGTTCACCACTCACTCAGGCTACCACTTTTGCAATTATATCTGGATTCATACTACTTCAAATTTTGTGCATGAATTGAAACTTTTATCAATTTTTATATGATGGGCTCTTACATTTGTTTAAATGTGTATTTGCATAAAGTGGGACAGCATTGTGGGAAACTTAAAGAAAATGCAACTTATCATACCAGAACTCTAGACATAAGTAAGGAAATACAGAATATGTGAAAGTTAAGGAATTATTTCCAAGGAGAGAAATGAATGAGAATTGCAAGCTACATCTTCAGAACTTCACTTCTTGCACTGGGTACTTTTCATGGCTCACCCAATTTCAGTGAAAGATATTGTCTTTTAAAAGCTTCCCCTTCCTTTTCCCAAAGAACCAAGAGAGGAAAAGATTCAGAGAAGGTAGGTTGGAGGACTGGTCCATGGCTGGCTGTGTTGTAGGTTACGTGAGCCTTTAGGACAGGGGACAAGTCTTTGGCCCCACCCTTCCTTCCTGCTGTCTGGTAGTTTGATTTCCAGCACCCATATTTAGAAGTTAGCCAACCCTGCTATTGTTAATATTCTTGAAATTATTGCCAATAAATGAATAAGTGTTATTATACAAAACTAAAGCATATTATACTCATTTTTTTCCTGGGAAGTACTTTTTGTCCTCTATACTCTATTTTAAGCAAAATTTTCTGCATATTAGGTACCAAAGTTTTCTGCCTCGAGATGTTTTTTGGATGTTATATTATCACCATCATTTCCTGGTTAGCTAGGAGTTTCCATCATTTAATATAGTTAGCTTTTCAAAAGCACTTTTCTGCACTTTTTCAGTGTGGTAAAATACACATAATATAAAATGTACTATTTTAACCCATTTTCAGTGTACAATTTAGTGGTATAAGTATAGTTACATTGTTGTTATATTTATGTTTAAAAATTCTAAAAGAAATGAAAACATTACTAGTATTGTCAGACTCCAAAAGTAATGTGGGCCCTAAGCATTGGGCTTTTCCTGTGCTTCATGGCTTCTGGGCCCAGCCAGGACCTTCTGGAAGTTTAACACCTGCCTAACCGGGACTTGTTCAATTTGATTGGCTGGTGTTGTATTGATTGAGAAATACTCTGAGTATCATTCCAAACAAAAATGCATCTTAGATAGGAGTTGGAAGTGGGCAGGATCATTAGGAGCCCTTTATTGTTCAATTCAGCTCATTCACATGAAAGAAACTACCCTAAGCTTGGAGTTGCCTTTACTTGTCTGCCTCCTTAAGAAGGGCTTTGCCAAACTTCTGCCCTGAAATTTAACTAGATAATGTTCCGGCCCTGTGATGTGTCTTCACAGGACTTCCACAGCTTCACCCAGTTATTTGGAATACAATAGGATTTGCCTTATTGATTACTCTCAGTAATGTGGGTGGGCCTTGTCCAATCAGTTGATGGTAGCCTTAAGAGTGAAAACCTGAGGTTTCTTGGAGAAGGAATCCTGCCTCAACAGTTGTAATATAGAAATTCTGCCTAAGTTTCTAGTCTTACATTCATGTGAGCCAGTTCCTCAAACTCTCTCTCTCTCTCTCTTCTCTCTCTCTCTCTCTCTCTCTCTCTCTCTCTCTCATCTTCACTGGTATAGACAGAAAGGTATTCATGAGCTCTCTGGCTCTCAAATTCTACTATTTGATTTGATTCTCTTTTATTGATCCTGTCTCTTTCATTAATCCTGTCCCATCCTAATAGCCATTTATTTATGACCAAGTAATCTTTTTTATTAAGGATTTTGGCAGACATTGAAATCAAGTCTGCTTGAAAATTAGAAATAAATATTATAACTTCTGCTCATCTCGTGTATCAC